CGTCCCGGGGCGCAGCTCGCCGCCGCCGCCGCCTCCAGCCAGCGAGCGGAGAAAGCGAGAGCGGAGGACGCCCAGCCTCGGCGCTCAGGCAGGGCGCCCCCAGCGGCCGCAGCCGGCAGCGCCCCGCGGGGCGGAAGCCGAGGCACGGGGGCACGGGGAGGGGGCGGAGAATATCGGGGCGGGGGAGCTAGGAAGCTGGGGCAGGGGGCGCAGGGGGCTGGGGAGCGGGGAGGCGGGGCGGAGGAGGGCGTGGAAGCTCAGGGCGGGAGGGCGCCGCGCCGGGCAGCGGAGCAGCGGCCGTTGGCAGCGGGTCACAACCCCTCGGGTTAAAAAAAGACAAAGTCGGCCTAAAAGCTTCGTTCTGCAGCTTCCTCTACGTCTTTCCTTTCAGTTTTTTTGCACCTCCTCTTTTCTCCCCTTTCCCCTGATTTCTTTCCCTGGGTTTTGGAAGTAATGGGTTAAAAAGGGCAAGCAGAATTTACCACTTTGTTTGGCCTAGACTGAGATCCCAAAACTAAAATTTCCTTTTGGGGCTCTAAACTTGAAATGTAAAATGAAGATAAGAGAGGAAAAAGGAAAGTGATAAAGATTCCGGGGCCTACTGATTTTCTCCTGTTGGTACCCTGTCTAGTCTTTGTCACCAAGGATAAACGATGATGGTGCACAGAATGAATTAAAAATAGTATCTTCCCTTTTAATAATTTGTCTATATGAAGAACTGAAATGCTTAAAATCAAATTCTGCAGGGCAGGCTTTTTAAAAAGCAGTTATTTGCCTTCTGTAGGTACAAGCACTGTCTACTGTTAAATGTGCATGACAGTTGTATAACGCTCTTGTTCTGTTTGCTTTGCAGCACCAGGTTGAACCCAGGGGCTGGTACACGCACATGCGTGCCAACAGGGCGCATCCCCACGCCCGCCCTCCCCCTTTGCTTTGAGACAAAGTCTTATTAAATTGTCCAGGCTGTTCTCCAACTTGTGATTCTCTGGCTTCAACCTCCCAAGTAGCTGGCTGGGACTACATACAGGCTTGCACCACACATCCAACTATGTTCATTTTTAAAAACTAAAGTCTAGTCTTTGTAACTCACACTAATCTTTGAAAGGACATAATTGATAATTCATTCGTGTAAAAATATACATTAACTGCCTAAAATGTTGGCCACTGGCTAGAGTTGAACCAGTGATAAATGAACACTAACTTCCCTTAAGAATTTTACCATTTAGTAAAGATGTGTTTAGTTTTGTCATAACAACAACAAAAAATACCTCTAGTATCAAGTAAAGTAGAACTCTGAAGCGTAAACAATGAATTACAATGAACCAGTATTGTGGATTTCTTAAGAATGTGCAGGATTTGGGACAACATGGAAGAAGGTATTCCAGGTGAAGGAAGGAGGAGCAATAAAGACCCAGAGGTGGGATTTAATTTGGGGATTTAGTAGTGGGTGAAGCTTGAGGTTTGTAGCTTAGACAACTGGGAGACAGGAGAGAAGACCTCAGCATGGAAGAGACCATGAGTCTTATCTGAAATGCTTGGGTGGGGGTGGGGGGTAGGAAAAGGGAGAAAAGGAAGAGAGGGGAGGGGAGGAGAGGAGAAGAGCCCGGTGGCTTTAGCTGCTGTCTGTTGCTAAGACTGAAAATCTGCACTTGGGAATTGTGGTATTTGCTGATGGCTAGAGCTCAAAAGGCAGATAAAATTGAGTTGCTCTGAAGAGTATTTCTGGGTAGCTGAAGGGAGAGGCAGTTGTGAAGACTCCCAAGAATGAGCTGTCAGAGAGAGGGGAGCTGAAGAGAGAATCCTAACCATTTAACATTTTTCATTATTAAGACTTACTATGTGTTAGGCGCTGTGCTGGAGGCTGGATAGAAATGAGTAAGACGCACAGGCTTACAAATGCATGAAGAAAACAGATACACAAACAAATCAGGAAGGGCAGGGGGGACAAGTGAGAGAAATGAACAAAATAGGATCTATGAGGGGCAGAGGAGTTGGTTTCAAAAGAGTGCCGCAGCACAAGCCCAGGGGGTTTGGACTGAAAAGGAGCTACAGAATTGGTGATCCAGGTCCCTGGTGGCTTGGCAAGAGAAATCTTCCTAAGTGCTGGTGGTGAAGTAGGATTAAAATGGCCTCATTAGAATGAAAGGTAGTAATGATGAGTGGTGGGTGTCTAAACAATGCTTTGCATGATTTTTGTTACTAAACAGAGAAAAGACTGTAGCTGGAGGAGGAACTGTAATATTTAAGATTTTTCATGATATTCGGGAATATCCATTATTTATTGAGTGCCTGTTCCGTGCCAAGCACCTTCATCGTTCTTACAGAATGGAGCTGCAGTCTCTGCCCCAGATCTGATGGTCTATTGCAGGACGCAGGTAAGTAAGCAGGCAGTGGCAGCACAATATAAACTCGAGTGCTATCTATAGAATATAGTGAATAGAGACACCACCTACCCAGATTAAGTAGGTTGATGCAAGGCTTTCTGGGTAAGTGGCATTTGAGCTGAGGCCTGAGTGGTGAGAATGGGGGTGGACATGGCTTTTCTATTCTGTGCGTGCAGAAGCTCAGCGGAAGACAGACCATGTTGCAGCAGGAACTGAAATTAGTTTTGTCTGGCTGCAATTTGAAGTGAGGTGTGATGACAGGGGTATAGTTGGAAGCCACTGAAGTTTTAAAGCAGAATCATATATTCAGATTTACATTTTATAAACATCTCCAGATATAGTGAAACTGAAAGATGGTTGATAGTCTGGTACTCTTTTTTTTAGAGTCATGATTTGATTATTAAACACTTGGTATGCATCAGGATCAAGGCAGAAACAGACATCATATTCAAAAGTGTTCACATGAAAATTTAGTGAAAGGATTATGTACAGAGCTGAAGGCAGGGTTCAGGGCCCACGAGCTGCTAGGGAACTGGAAGGAGGCAAGGATAAACAGCGTGATTCCCCTTGTCTTCTGCTTTCGGATTTGCCTTGCCACCCAAGTAGAGGGGAGCACAGACTGGAAAATAGAGTTCCTAGAGAACAGTCTCATAAATCCACAATGGTGAAAGTAGATGGAGGCAAGGGTTACAAAGCCAAGCTAGCACACATCTGATTCACCCCCAGCTCTGTAGGAATCCAGAAAGGAGGGAATTTCATACAGCTCTTCAGTGGAGGAGAGGAAATCTACAGAATGCTGACTTCAGAGTGATATCATTTTAGATAAATGTTACTGGTCCTTCTTGACTTCCTGGCCAATGGGAGCATACATTTTCCAGTCTCCTTGCAGTTAGGTTATTCTGGGCAGTATTATATGAGAAGTAATGTGTCACTTCAAGATGAGACAGTGATGAGCCTTTGAGCAGGTCTTCCTTGCTGTAGTAGTCATGGAGGAGACCTTGGGTTGAAATGTAGTATTCACAAAATTGAAACAACGTGGGGTTCTGAGTAGGAGCATAGGGGAACAATGGCTAATGTTTGCAGTAAACACTTTAGAGGAGGGGTATTTTATTGTAGTGGGGCACTGAAATGTGGGGATTACTTACCACTACAGCATACAGCTAGCTTTTTCTGACTAGAATATAATTGAGATAGGAAGGTGACAGCAGACACAGGTACAGCATCTGCTGCCACCACCCGTGACACTCATAGGATGAAGATGATACAGAGTTTGGATGTCACACACGTTATTATATCTTGCCACGTGTGGTTTCCTAGGCAACCATGTGGCAAAGGATCCCCCTTCAACCTGACCAGGAACCCTGATCAGGAACATCTATACTGAACTATGATATGAGCAAGAAGTGAACTTTTGTTGTGATATTTTGAGGTTTTGTTTTGTTTTGCTGCGACAGCTAACACTTTCCTAAATGGCTATTGCAGTAGGAAGGGTGCTATGGTAAAGATCTCAAACTAGTCAGGCAAGCAGGAGCCAACAAGGAAACTTGAGAGGCTGAAAACAGAAACCCATGGGGATATGTCTTAGTCCATTTTTCTGTTAATACACAATGCCACAGTGTTTAAAGAAAAGAGCTTTATCTTGGCTCAGGGCCCTGGTTCAGGATGGAGGTGCTTCACGTGGTGATGGTCTTCTTATTGGCCGACTCTCTAGGTGTCACATGGAGTCACACAATTTAAGCGAGACCTCTCCACACTGGCTTTTGTGGTGGACTTACTCTTCAGATAGCCACTAAGCCCATTAGCACATTACAGTGGACCCTTGACTTACAAACTCAATTATTCCCCAGGGCTGGTTAGATCTCAGGTTGTCAATTGAAGCCTCAGCCTTCTCCATACAGCCTTCAAAGTCTTTCTGCTACATGCAGACAGATCTCAGTGCCCTTAGAGAGACATTGGTCCATGAGTTCTCAATTAACCCCATACAAGAAAGGATGTTGTAATATTCCTTATAGAACTCTTTAAGGGTTAAATCTGTATCTGAGACCATCTGAAGTACAAGTGGCCAGCATTCAGGTCATAACTCAATACTGATCATAAGTTAAAACATGCTTTCATGCGCCAGGCTGGTCATAACTTGAAGGTCCACTGTAATTGCATGGATAAATCAATATTCAAGATGGCAGAGCTCTAATAACCTTTCAAAGGTCCCGCCTCTTAATGACTTTTAATAGAGATTAAATTTCAGGACATATTTTGGGGATTTGAGTCATATTCAAACCTCAGCACAAGACATTTGGTAAGAGTTGTGTGCAGTAATACAGAAGGAAAATAAGATGCTTCAAAGTTCATAGCCCTCGAATAAGTTAGAAAATGATTAGCAGCTCATGGTTCCTGGCTGCTTTTGGCAAATATTAGAAACACGAGATGAGCTCATGCAGTA